ACTGAAATTTGCATACAAACAGCACCTAGACCCCTCTCTTACTTTCTTCTTTCCGTGGAGAGTGAAAGATTTATTGGCTTCCCTTACTAGAGAATGCTTGGTCAAACAGAACTGAAACTAGTTTAAAAATTTAATCTTCAGTGATTCTAAGAGCAGAGGGGAAAAAGAGCAAGTAGTTTTTGTTTGAAGTGTTCAATTCTTATAAGATGCTTAAGAACCTCTTAATTTAGCCATTAACTCTCTAGCTTGGAAAGAAAAGAGACTTGTTTAAATGAGAAAGCAAATAATTTTGGAGAAGACAACATTTCATTTAGAAGGGTGGTTTTACCTTACTCTGTGGGCAGCTAGATGGCACAGTAGTTAGAATGCCAGGCCTGGAGTCAGGAGAACCTGAATTCAAATCTGGCCACTGACACTTAGCTGTGTGACCCTGGGCAGGGCAATTAATTTTGTTTGCTTCAGTTTTCTACATGTGTAAAATAAACTAGAGAAGGACATGGCAAAAGATACTGGAGTGTCTTTACCAGGAAAACCCCAAATGCAGTCACAAAGAGTTGGACCCAACTAAGTGACTAAACAACAACCATTTACCTTGCTACACTGGTCTTCGGGGAATGATTTAGTAGAATTTAAGTGCTTAGGGAAATTAAAAGCAAAATCACTCAAAGGAATTAAAACAGATTATGTATATTTTTTTTCTTTTTTTGTGAGGCAATGAGGTAAGTGACTTGCCCAGGGTCACACAGCTAGTAAGTGTCAAGTGTCCAAGGCCCAGTTTGAACTCAGGTTCCCCTGACTCCAAGGCCAGTGCTCTATCCACTGTGCCACCTAGCTGCCCCTAGATTATGTATTTTCAAGCTCTTAAGTAAGAAACCAAATTGGATGCATTTTACTTGACAAAATTAGAAATTACCTGTAAATCTTGAAGTTTCAGTTCTGATAAGGGAAAAGTAAAGTTTTACCATAAATTTGAGATACATAAAAAAGTGTGCTAAATGTACAAAGGGACAATATAATGGATTACAGGAAACTAGTTCTGAAGATACTTTGAGAGTGATTAGGAAGCACTGTGAGAGATGATCTCTCAGAAGTGAAGCCTCCTCAAAGGGTCATTAGTTCTTGTTAATGGATCTGAGTCTGTGGGTAGAAAGAGAAAGAACTGGAGAAAACTGGAAGTCATTTGTGCTGATGCAGTGTGGCCAGGAAGCTAATTAGATGGCATCGAGAAGTATGTGACAATACTCTTAGAAGTAGAAAAAAAATTTAAAAAGCAATTCAATTTTGATTTCCCCCAAATAGGAATATGTACAAGTCTTCATCTTTGCCAGCTATCAGAATTTCCAGCATGGACACCCCTCCCCAACCCCACAAAAATGCACAGATTTAGCAAAATATTGCAGATAGTTGAAGGAAATTTTCAACCTCATTGGGATAAGAGGAGAATAGGTAGATTTCCATGCATGTAGAAATGCTTGTTTCTTCCTCAGGAAATTAAAATGAGTTTTGTGATTTATCATGATTTCTGAGCTTGATTTCACAGACTTTTATAATCTGGAGGATGTGGAAAAGTAGCTGGAATCATGTAGCAGGGTTTTAAATTGATGATTTAAAATTTTGATTTATATTGGGTTTGAGAAATTGATTGAGGAAAATTGTTATTCAAGCATAATTGATCTGTAATTCTAATGGAAACTGGTAGTACCACATCATTGCAGCTATGAAAACAAAAGGGATAATTTCTCTATAATGGTTTTTAAATGCAACTAGTATAGAACACTAAAACTTGGACGTGAACAGAATTTTTTTTTCCATGTAGGATAATTTAGAGACACAGTCAACTGGATTATTTTTATTATTATTATTATTATCTTGGCAACAAGTTTTTTTGTCTATGTTTTAAATCCATGATATTGTTTTATGTTAATATTATGCTTATAGTTTCTTGCATTGTCATTTCGGGAAATCATTGAATAGAAGAGCTTAATGGTTTAGCTTAAGGTAAGATTGATTACCTTGTGCCACATTTCCGTGGTGCAGTCTTAGACTTGTTGCCAGAATTTGGGAGTTTTTTTTTAAGGGTGGGGAGAGGGGGAGGCCAAGGGAATTAAATTCCTGAACCAGTCATAATTCAGAGTTGGTCTTAAAGACTGATTCTGTGACATCCCTCCTCCCCTGTGTCCTTGTTCTGTCCTCACCCTCTTCCCCAAAACCCTGGTTTTGTCCTTTAGCTTCTGCTGCTGTCATCTGAACTATGGAAAATAGCAATAAATCAATCAGCACTAAGAAATTCTATTTCAGATGCAATTATTTTCCAAATTGTTTGAGGCAAGTAATTTTCCTTTACACTTGTTTCATTTTGTATACTTTAAAATATCCTTATCAGGAATTCTGCCCATCCCTTTCAGGACACAGGGCAGCTAGATGGCACAGTGGATAGGGTGCCAGACTTGGAGTCAGGAAGACTGCTTTTCCTGAGTTCAAATCTGGCCTCAGACACTTAGTAGCTATGTGATCCTGGGCAAGTCACTTCACCCTGTTTGCCTCAGTTTCCTCATCTATAAAATGAACTGGAGAAGGCAATGGCAAACTACTCCAGTATCTCTGCCAAGAAAACCCCAAATGGGGTCTTGAAGAGTCAAACATGACTGAAATGACTGACATTTCAAGACACAGTAAACAGAAAGCAGAAGTGTAGTGACGGAAGCTACACAGCCCGAGGAATATTGAACCTCATGAACCAAATGTGAACGTCAGTTTTGTTTCCCCAGCTAAGGCATAGTTAAGCGTGGCAGCTTAAATCTTCCGGAGTTCTATTTTCAGTACCTACTACATGCTTCTATGACATTATTAATTTGGAGTTAATTTGCATGTTTGTTCACTGCAGAGAAAACTGATAAGTGATCAAACTTGCTCAGTCATTGTGGTTGGTAAATATGTCAGAGTTCAAGTAGAAAATTAACTTGCTTAGCACAAATTCTAACTGGCATACTGTAGTTTTTTCTGATATGTTAAACTTTACATAAGTATATTTCTAATTGCAGTGTAAGAACGAAAACAGGCACACCCTAACTTAGTATCTTTGGATGGCAAAAGCTATATTTATGCAGCTAACATTTAATTTTTAATATAATACTTCCTTGAAGTATTATAGATACATATATGAAGGTAAATACTTTTTACTGTTTTATGTATAATCTATGCAGCTATTTTAAAGGTATTAGGACCATCTATTTCCATGTATATGGGGCAGCTAGGTAGCGCAATGGATAGAGAGCTGGTTTTGGAGTCAGGAAGACCTGAGTTCAAATTCTGCCTCAGACACTACCTGCGTGACCCCAGACAAGTCATTTAACCCTGTTTGCCTCAGCAGCATTACCTAGGGAATCACTGGAAAGGGGGCAATGGATGACTTAGAGCTTGGCAAATGGATCTATTGGGAAGAAACACCTTTGCCCAATAAACAAGATACAAAGACCCATCTCAACGTAAGTGGGCCAAACTGGACAAGTTGTGGATTGTGTTCTAGGACAGACACCTTCGATCCAGGAATGACAAGGAAAAATGTTTCTCAGAAGCAGACAACTTCCCAAAATGGGCAGTTAAATTCAAGACACTGAAACAAGATTTTGTTGTTTAGTCATTTCCAATTCTTCATAACCCCATTTGAGGTTTTCTTGGCAAAGATACTGAAGCAATTTGCCATTTCCTTCTCCAGCTCATACTATAGATGAGGAAACTGAGGCAAACAGAATTAAGTGACCTGCTCAGTTCACATGGCTAGTAAGTGTCTGAGGCCAGATTTTAACTCAGGATGAGGAGTCTTCCTGACTCCAGGCCCCACACTCTATCCCAGGGGTGGAGAACCTGTGGCCTTAAAGCCACATGTGGCTTTCTAGGTCCTTAAGTGCAGCCTTTTGACTGAATCCAAATTTTACAGAACAAATCTTTTTATTTTTATTAATATATTTTCATTTGTCTTTTATATTTTTATTTCTTTTTAAAATGCATGTATTTAAAATACCACAGAATAAAATAAGTTTCAATGAAATAATCCTCCCAGACTGACCAGCACAATTAGAATAAGGCCTAAATTGACGGCTGCTATGGTCATTATTTAGTTCAAACTTCTCTCACCTGACTGGTGCCACTACCATAAGAGGCTGGTTGGTGAGAGTTTATGGGGGTCGACTGCACCAGTCTGTTATCAGCTTTTGATAACAGTGCACTGTGATTCTGTTTGAGGTGGAATTTGTGAAATAGTTGCACAGCTCAACAGTATTTTTTTAATTCTGTCTGCTTAACAGACCATCATGTCAAAGAAGACCAAGAGAATGCTGAAGGAAGAAAACAGATTTTTTTTTAATGAGGATTAGGGATTACAATATTATCTTATTTCTGCTAAAGATAAGATAATTTGCTTGCTTTGTGATACTGCAATATCAACATTAAATCTACTCAGTGCTGCAACACTCATAAGGACCACAAATGTTTTACTTAGAGGGAGAGGCGTGAAAGGTTGTACTGCCAAAATTAAAAGATGAAAAGCAAAAGCAAAGACAATTCTTTCAAGCAGCAATATGACCTGGAAATAATGTCACTGATGCATTTTACAGAGTAACTTATTTACTCAGGGAAAAAAGGGAAGTCATTCAGTGACGCAGAAATTGTGAAAGAATGCACTGTCAAAGTTGTAGGATGCTTAGATCCCGATAATATTTCAAAGTACAAACAACTGGCTCTTTTGAGGAGAACCACAACTGATCGGCAGTATGAATTAGACTTCAACTTAACTGAACAACTTCATGCAATACTTCAAAAGGAAAATATATACTATTCAATTGCTTTGAATAAATCAGCTGATACTGTTGACTCAGTGCAGGTTTTATACTTCATTCAGCTCATAACAGAAGATTTTCTTTGCTATGAAGAGTCACTCGCTTTGGATATTCTTGTGAACAGAACATAGAGAATGCATATCTTTGACAACTTTAAAGGTAAATGTCGTGAAGTTGGACTAAAATTGGTAAATTTAGTGAGTGTGTGTACAGACCGTGCACCTTCAATGGCAGTAAAACATGAGGGGTTTATTGCACAGATTAAAAAAAGTATTAACAGATCCAGATGCTGTGATTTCTTTTCATTGAAATCTCTGTGCTAAAGCTACTAAAGTGACTCTTTGCAACAAGTAATAAATATTGTTAACTATATTCCTGCAAATGCAACATGGCATCATCGGTTTCATAGCATGCTAAAGTTAAACAATGAGGTATTCGGTGTGGATTTGCTGTCATTCTAAAGTGCATTGGTTATTGTAGGGACAGGTGTTAGTAAAAATTTTATCTCTTCAAGAACAGATAGTTAAATTTTATGAAAAACAGAATCAGCAATGTGAATTACTGAAAGAAGATTTCTGTAGAAATGCTGCATTTCTGTGTGATATCATGTCAAATCAAAATGACCTGAACATTTCTTTGCAAGTAAAACAGTCTATATATGATACGTGGCAAAAAATTCAAGCATTTAGAAGAAAAAAAAAGCTATCTTTTTCAAAACACTTCTTCAAAAGGAAATTTTGGATGAACATTTTCGCCAGTTAGGAAAGAGACTATGCAGCTATTATAGACCTATTAATTGGAGAATACAATGAAAGGTTCACTGCCTTTGAGAGTCATGAAATCACACTCAAATTAGCATTTCACTCTCACCTAGTTGATATCACCAAGGCACCTAAAGAACTACAGATGGAATTGATTGAGCTCTCAGTAGATGGCATTTTAAAGTCATTGTTTGATGCTGAGAAAGATCCAACTGAAATGTGGAAAGCTGCAGTAGAATACCCACGCCTTTCACAACATGCCTGAAAAATGCTTTCTTGCTTTTCAACTTATTGCTGTGAATCTACATCCTCCTATCTAACCCAAATCAAGACGTCCTTAAGGACACAAATGACTGATCCTCATCTAGTGGATCACTGAAACTGAAGACTTCCATACTGTAACCAAATATTCAAATGCTTTCCAACAAAAAGCAGATACAACAAAGTCATTAAAAGGTTAGTTAACTTTAAAATTAACAGTTTTCATTTTTTAAAATTAAGTACGTAGTAGTCAGATTTTTACAAAATAATGTACATTTTTAAGGATATCTAATTGAAGTTTCTTGACTTCGGCCTTATTTGATTACAGCTAAATATTAATACAGCCTTCCAACATGAAAAGGTTCCTGACCCCTGCTCTATCCACCCTGCCACCAGCTGCCCATGGAACAAGATACATGCTGTCTAAATGGATATTGAAACACTTGCCCGGTTCCTTTTTTATCTTCCTGATTATGTAGTTATGCTGATTATCTGTTATTCCTTATATTGCCCTGAGCCTTTTGGAAAGGTACCTAGGAGCCAGATTGAAGACAAAAGCAGAAGTTAAAATCCAGGTCCCCTTTGTCCTAGTTCTTTGTAAAATTAGTGGTAATAATGCCCCACAGAAAAATGCTGCCCTTGAAACCCACATTTCTAAGTGGAGCTATTTTTGTCAAACACTTACCATTATTCAAAACAACAGCTCCAGAAGTTGTGTGCAGTAAAGACTAATTTTTCTACTTATTATGGCGCTCCATTCTTGCCAAGAGGTTTGTTTAAGCTTGCCTTTCTGATTTATTACAGTATGATTGACTGATGCTTGTCATTTTAGTCTGTAAGAGAATGTTTTGGATTTTATATGACTTGTAATCCATTTTTAGTTTTTTGGTTCATCACTTCCGTCAACCTCACTGAAATAAAGTTCCTATTCTGCTGTATAATCAACTGCCTTACTGTAATATGTAATATGGAGTTTGGAAAAAAAAAAAACCTTTATCACTGACTCCCAAGTAAAAATACTGACAAAGCAACTGCCAGAAGACAAGAGGAAGAAGAGGACCTTAAAAACTTAACAAACACAACCACACAATAGTCAGAGTTTAATGACACTGAAATATCAAAGGAAGAAATGCAAGGGGGAAATAGGAACCACAATCATTTCATGTTATCCTTATGGACTAGCAATGTTGAAATTCCCCAATCACCTGGTGGCCCAATATTAGAAAGTCCCCAATCCCTATGAAAGGCCACAGTAAAGTAGATGTCTCATCCTTTGTTGTACCTGGCAGTTTAACTACCAGGACTGCTTTCACAATGGTAACAATATTTGGTCTCTTCCTCCTTATCTCCTGCCCTTGAACAGGGAGTGTTCTCTTATTCTGATCATAAATCCTGCCATGTGCAATCCTAGTACTCCCCCTTACTCCCTTGACTGATGTCCCTCTTTCTCTACCCCTCCCTCTCCTATAAAATGTTTTCCTTTTCTAGTCTAAGTCGCTATGGAATGCTGCTGATTGGCTGTGTGCTCTAATTGGGCCTGAAAGGTTATAAAAATCAAATTGTACCCCAGGAGTCTGAATTTACTCTTAGCAGAAGCAGATTCCTTAGTGTGCTAATAAATTTCTTTACTTTCCTTTGCCTCCTATGTAGGCACCAGCAGCCCGGTAGCATGAACCCCACTCTCCCAATAATCCACCTTCTGATGATGGGTATTCCTCTCCCAAAAGGTTTGGCCTTCTATATTTGACCCTACAATAATCCAACCTCTGATGACCAGTATACTTCTCCAAAGAGGTTGAGAGAAGCCCCCAATGCTGTACAAAGGCCTGGAGGCGGGAGGTAGGACTTCCCAGTTGAGGAATAGCCCAAAAGGCCAATTTGGCTAGACTGAAGAGTACAAGAGTGGAAATGGTACCAGAGTTTGAAAAGGTAAGCTCAAGTCCAATTTTGGACTTGCAGTAGCAAACAGGAGTTTGCATTTCATCCTAGAGGCAAAAGGGAGCCTTAACTATGCTTTAGAAATATCCCTTTGGCAGGTCTGTGGAGATAGAGCTGCAGACCCCTGAGTTCACTCTCCACTGATTTCACTGGACTACAGTGAGCAACAAAAGCCAACAACAACAAAAAATAAAGGTGCTTAATCTAGATTTTTCCTTTGCCTTTATCAGATTCTGCCTTTCATTTCATTTGTATGTGTACCTTATGTGTTAATCTCTGAGTAGTTCATAAGCTCCCTCAGAGAAGGGCCTGAAAATCACTTTTCATCTTTGTAACTCCACCTCTCACCCCTCCCCCAGCCCATCCATCCACCCAAGAGGCAGCAGAAAGACAGCTTGGAAGCCAGCAATACACACATTCCAGTTCCATTACTGATACTGATGGGCTGTCACTCCACTTCTCAGGGATCTAAGCAACTTTCTAAGACTCTAAATTTCGGACACAACTAGGTGGAGCAGTGTATAGAGAGTCTGGCCAGGAGTAAGGAAGACTTATCTTTGTGAGGGCAAAACCGGCCTCAGACACTTACTAGTTATGTGACTCTAGACAAGTCATTTAACCCTGTTTGCTTCAGTTTCCTTATCTGTAAAATGAGCTGGAGAAGGAAATGGCAAACCACGCCAGTATCTCTGCCAAGAAAACCCTAAATAGGGTCACAGAGAGTCAGACATGACCGGAAAACCAGTGAATAAGCCTCTAAATTGCAGAGAAGGGGCCGACTTACACTGGTGGAGGGCGTTTGGTCCCCAAGAAACTTCTTATCACAGCGAAATCATAGCTTCATTCTGTGCCCAGTACCTACTACAGTACCTTGCACGTGTTTGGGACTCGGGGGTGGGGTCTAGTCTCCATTAGAATCTCCCCAGCACAAGTGCAGATGAGTCAGCTGAGGGACCCAAGTCTTCTTCAATAGAAATCCAGCCCTCCCTATCTAATTATTCTCATTAACTGTTTCCTAGCCTTCGGAATGCTCCTTGAAATGTGTCTTTTATAGACCGTAGGTGGAAGCGTGTTCCTGGGGATTGGGCACTGGCCTGGAGGTTCCTGATTCCCAGGCTCAGTGCTGAGCTAGGGACTGCTCTGGGGCGGAACATGTTCATCCTCTCTCTAATTCGAGCTTCCTTCTGGCCTGCTTGGAAACAAGGCGAAAGTAAAAAAAAAAAATTAAGGGCTTTAGTAAACCAGTTTGTGCCCGGAAAGGAAAGCCCGAAAGGGCAGTTAATTAAAAAGCTTTCTCTTAAAATAGGGGAAAGATCAGGGAGTTGGCCTGGCCAAAACGGCTGGGCTCCAAGGGGCGGAGCTGGAGCAAAGGCCTACGTAAGAGTGGACAGCCGCAGGGAGGGAGTGCGGGCAGCGAGGCGGAGGAGAAGGAGGAGGCAGGAGCAGTGCTCAACGCAGAGGCTCCAGGCTTGGAGTAGCAGCAGCGATGGGGCTCCGCGCTGCTCTGTTCGACCTCGGCGGAGTGCTGGTACATCCATCCCCGAACGTCATCTTCAGCCAGGCCGAGGAAGCCTTGGCCCTGCCAAGGTAGGGAGCGGACCGCCGGTTCGCTCGCTCACCCGCTCCCACTGGGCGGAGTCTGCGCCGCGCGCCTTAAACTTCCCCTTTGCGGAATAGTCTAGCAAGCGGATGGCAACCTTGTTTCTGCCTTAAAGGCCCCGCCCCTGAAACACACAAATCAGTGGACAGCCCCACCTCTAAGTTAAATTATACTCTTAACAACTTTGCTTTTTTAAAAGCGAGATTTTAAAACACAAACTCCTCTTTGTTTTAGATTAAGGACAGGGAACCTAAAACTGCTCAATAAATGAAAACAAACTGGTCATACAGTTCTTCACACATTGCAACTGCCCTCTCCAAATGGGCGTTTGCCCACGTTGACTATGTCCAGAATACATTGGCTCCTTAACTCTCAGTATCCCTCCTTTCCTTCCAAGTTCAGCTCAAACCCACCCTCCTACAGGAATTCTTTCTTGGCTCTCCTAGCTTCTAGTGTCTCGCCCCGTTCACCCCATTCGGTTGTATTTATTTTGTATGAGACTTATCCCCTGCTAGAATGTAAGCTTCTTGAGGGTAGGGACTATTTCACTTTTTATTTTTGTAAATCCAATGTTTAACACAGTGCCTGGCACAGGGTAAGGCCTTAATAAATGTTTGTTGATTGAATTATTGATTATAAAGTAACTACTAAGTTCAGGCCACCCTGTTTGGTGAGGGTGAAGGGTTGGAATACTTGTAAATTGTGCTTACAGAGTCACTGGATTTGAAATTGGAAGGAACTTCAGTGCAGTCCAGTCCAACACATACAGGGAAAATATCTCTACTAGATAACATACCAACAGTGGGTAGCATACCAGTTATCTCAGCAGCTTTCCACTTTTGAATAACTCTTAATTATTAGGAAATTTTTCCTGACATCAATACTGTCTTTGCCTCTCTGGAACTTTTACCCATTGCTAAATAGGTCTAACTCCTCTTTCATATGTCATTCCTTCAAATACTTGAACGTTGCTGCTGAGCCTTCTCTTCTCCAGGCTAAGCTAGCCCTAGTTCCTTCAACTGGTCCTTATAGGACAAGAGATAGCCCAGTCCTGCAGCAGATAGAACACAGGACCTGGAATCAGGAAGACCCGAGTTCAAGTGTGGTCTCAGATACTTAGTAGCTGTGTGACTCTGGGCAGATCTCTTAACTTCTGTCTGCCTCAATTTCTTCACCTGTAAAATGGGAATAATAATACCACCTACCTCCCAAGGTTGTTGTGAGGGTAAAATAAGATAATATTTGTAAAGTGCTTTGCAAAAGTACTATATAAATAGTATCATTATCCCTTCTAACAAATAAGATAATATTTGTAAAGTGCATAGCACAATGCCTAGCATATAGTAGATGCTTAATAAATGTTTGTGGGGTCCCCCTACTCCCCCAAAAAGGACAAAAAAGAAGGAACTGTTCAGCAAAACAAAAATCAACATATCAAAAATGATCTACCATCATATATAGTATTCCACACATAAGCTTTCACTTCTGCAAAGCAATAGGAGGAAGTGCCTTCTCATATCTTTTCTTTGGGGCAAAGTTTGGTGATTACATAATACTAGGTTTTGATATTGATCTTTCCATTTACATTGTTGTAGTCCCAGGGTGCATTATTTTCCTGGGTCTGCTTCATTCCATATCAGTTAATATGTCTTCCTATGTTTTCCCAAATTCTTAATATTCATTATTTTTTACAGCACCATCATATTCTTTTACATTCCTGCTCTACAAGATGTTTATCCTTCCCCAATCTATTCAACTCCTTTATTTTACAAGTGAGTAAATTGTGGCTGAGAGAGAAGTGAAATGACACGCCCAGAGCTCCACAGTTAGTAAGTGGCATGGCTGAGATTTAAACTGGGCCTTCACTCTGAGTCCCCAGATCTTTACATTAGTCAGTAAGCATTGTATTAAGTTCCTATTATGTGCCAGGCACTGTGCTAAGGCCTGGTCATACAAAGAGGCAAACAGTCCCTGACTTTAAGGAGCTTACAATCTAATGGGGGACATAATATATAAAAAGAAACTAAAAGGGGGAGGGGAGATGTAGAGCATACCCAATGCTGGAGCTTGATGAAGTCCAGATGAGTGGCCTAGGTGTGCTCCATAAATGAAGGATCTTGGAGAAGCGCTCTGCCCTCCACCCTCTCCAATGAGAGGGAGGAAGGGGTCCCAGGGGCAGGGGGTACAGATGAGGTGTGAGTTCCAGGGCTGATGTGATCTTGCAGGAAGATAGGATACCTGAGGGGCATGATTAAATCTAGAGTATGGCAGCTGGGTCAGAAATAAAGAGATGGTGGCTTGAGTGCCTTCCTTACATTGAGTTCTGCCCTGTGTGCTCAGTCATTTTTCAGTCATGTCCGACTCTCTGACACCTTATTTGGGGTTTTCTGGGAAAAGATACTG